CAGGAACAGCCTGGAGGAAATGGGATAGAGGTTGGGAAAACATATGGAAGGAACAGATGGACCTGTAGAAATTGTTTTATTGCCCCAGTCTAACCCATCAAAAATGTTTTCAGAATGGACTGCTGATCAAGAAGAATCAGCTGCCACAGAGGAGGAGTGAGGAGTTGGTTGTTTCCAATAATTTCTGCCCTTTTCTTGCAGTGGGTCCTCTTTGCCGCTGGCACATAGATTCCAAGCAACTTCAGGGCTGCTCTGGAATCCTTTTGACTATGTACCTGATTGTCCATCTTTTCTGAAAAGAGGAAGGGATCTTGAATGGCCTGTCATATTTCAGGAGGGAGATCAGTAGACTGCAGTCATGAATTCGTAAATATGGCAGACATACTGAATTGAACTGCTGAGTCTGATGACCAGTCTGATGACTCAAGCAGTTGTGGCCATCACCTAGGTCTCTTCCACCACAACACTGAAATCCTGCTTGGAATCTTCCAGTAGCCTATCTTTAAAATTCATTATGTTCTCCCAGAGAGCAGTCCTATCAACTCAGAGGAGTTTGCTGGTTAACAATTGTTAGTTACAGCCCTCTCATTGAATAAAATTTATAGTGAAACAAGTCAGTCTCTTTGGTGTGAACACTTGATGCCCTTCTCCCTCCTACCAATTGCTTCAGTAATCGAAAGTGCAAATCAGGACATGGCCATCGAAGCTAGTATGTTCACTAGATTGTAGCATTTCTTGCAAACCTCTTCCCTTGAATATCTAACACTAAAGACATAGTTCTGGTGAACCCTGCTGTCTTTCAGTGGGGGTGGTGAATCACTCACCATCTTTATAAGATCATTTGGTAGTAAAGAAGATGATGCACCAGGATACCAAAGCAAGGTTTGGCCTGATCTGTCTCCGGAGGTGGAGGAGCTGTCTGAGCAACTTCCAGTTGCATGGTATCATATCAGAAAATGTTGCCTGTGGTGCTGACCACTTCAATGCACCCCTGTTGAACTCCACTCCGCTGGGTGAAAGGAAGTCTGAGTAAAGGGAGAGACTCCATGGCAGTGTTTCTTAACCTTTTTAAGTCCGAGGAACACCAAACAATTTTTTTTATGAGGAGCACCAAGGATTTTTTGTTGAGCAAAAAGAAAAAAAAAATCGGAGGGGGAGGAGGGGACACAGTTTAAGAAACACTGCTCCATGGTGTTCAGAAAGACCTCTGACATGATATTAGGGCCCATGCTTGCACAGGTCATTGTCCCTTGAGATGTGCTCACTGCTGGGACAACTGTAAGATACATGAACCTCAAGGCTCTGATGGAGGGTATGCATCCGGCTTGTATGGGACACAGTGATCCTGCGCTTCTGAGTCATAAGAAATGACTAAGTCCTACGATAACAGTTGAACAGAACACATGTGCACAGGGGATAAGCCAAGCCTGAGGATGGCAGTACTGGGGATATTAATGGTGTTTTGCCCCTGAACTGTTCTTCCTTTTACATGCCTGAAATGTAGAATATTTCATGCTCTTACAGAGCTGGTGTAAGAATCACAGTCACTGGTATCAGCTGAAACTGCCAGGGACACCTGTTCCAAAAAGCAGAGCAATTCTCTAGTGGCTGCCTATGCCTCTGGCATTATTGGTATCAGAACCAGGTCATGAATTTGAAATTTTTTACACAGGAATGTAAGGGGTCAGCCTCGATGGACTCAGAGCAGGTCCGAGAGTTGACAAATCCCCCCTTCCCTTTTACAAATGAGGAATACTTTGGGGAATGCCTCCACTCAGTCTCTCTCCCAGTGCCTCTATAAGATCTTGGTACTGATGCTCTTTCTGAATAGGGTACCAAGTCTGGTTCTCTTTGGTACCAGAGATACATGAATGAGATGCCAAATGCCTCTAAGGCTGTGTGCTCCAGACTGAAATGTGTAGCATTTGGAGTATGCTCTGAACTGGAGGGCTCTAATGGAGGTTAGGGTGCCAACTTCATGAAGAGACATCTGGCTGCTCTCTATCTCTTAAAAAAAAGAGTGGGACATAAATCCTTTATTTGTCTGTGATGTGGGACTCCCCCAAACATTTTAGGTAACTGGAGTACAGGTTGCTGTTTGGCATCAGCCTGGCACAACTGGCAAGATATAAACCACATAGCACGAGGCATGGCTCTGGTATCAGTACAGAGATTCAAATCTGGGCCCAAAAGGATGTAAAACTGAAGCCTATCACTACCACTAACTATATTCTAACTTAACTGACTATTAAGAGAATAAATAAATTATCTAAAACTACAATAGGAAAAGCTTGTGACAGCAAGACCAGAAGTACTCTAACAATGTTCACAGTGGTAAGAAGGAACAGAAGTGGGTTAACCGCAACTCCATATTTTTATACCTACATACAGTGGCATGTGATGGTGGAAAATGTTTGTGCCACCTCAGTGGATATTGCTAAGGGATAATGTTCCCTGACAACTGTGCATGAGGTGCACACATATCTACAGTATAATACACGTCTGCAATCACTCGAAGAACTCACCCACTTTGCAGTGAGAATGCACATTAATTTACTCAAGCAACTATAGTCCTTCATTGCATTATCACAGTATGCTTTGTATGTACAGAAGACAGACAAGATCTTCTACAATTCATTGGGAAAAAGTTAAAGAATGGCTCAGCTTACTGCAACACAAAGAATTACAAGATATACTCCCTTAAATACTGGCGACATGCAAGTGACTGCAGCAGCAGCAAGGACACAGTAACTTGGGAATGGCTTTGCTATGTGGCTGCTCAGACCTTCTAAATTGTTTAGACTTCACACAATGGTCCAGTCTTTTCAGTACTGTGGGCTTCATTCACAGCAGTGTAGCATCTCCACAGGCAAGGTACATAAACAAAATAGTGTCCTCCGTGAGATGTGACTTTGGATGTTCAGTGTATCCAAGGCAATGTGCAGAGAATGCAATTTTAATTTATAAAAGGGTGTCCATGCAGTGTGACCTTGCATGCACCATACACGTAAAGTCCTGCTGGGCTGAGGACATCAATTTTGAAGGGAAAAATGGATACTTTAGTGGCCAGACACAGTCATCCTGAGGGCTCATCTGGCACACTGGTTTCCAGCTGGATCATGGATCATCCCGCCACTCCAGTATTTTACTTAAATATGTGCTTTAAAAGAACAATTTATAAGTCACATCTGTGAAAGTGTTTTGCCTACTGCAGGTAAAGGCTGTAACTAAAAAGTTAGCATTTTTCACGTACTCAATACATTCATCCATCCTTTGCAGTTTCTCTGTACAGCTAGTTGGTTTCCCTTTAAATCTGTATGCATGTTTACCATTAAACACAGAAGATGAACACGACATTAAAAATTAGAAAGTGTAACTATTAAAACCACACAGAAATTTGAGGTCAGTGTAACAAAAAAAATCTACTTGTAACCAAAGTTTTAAAAACTAATTTAGATTTCTATCTGATTCTGCCCCTTTAAGTAGCATGAATAACAATCTCTTGCCTTCTTCACTCAGGCTTCACTTTCTTGCTCTATCTAAAGATATAAAACCTACTAGTTTCCCTACCACATACAGAATCTTCAGTTGGCAATACCTGAATTTCTAATGTAAAAACAGCATTGTTAAAAATCCTTTAGGGCATTTTTTATACAACATAAAAAAAATCTCTTTGCTTCATTTCCCACTTTGTAGTTCACCTTTAATTCTACACAGAAGAGAGATCAGCTGTCAGTTTCCGAAGAAAAGTATGGTGGCACTTAAATTCTGAGCCACTTGCTAAGTGAATTCCCTACATCTCTTCTAATCATGACTGAATGAAATTAAGTCATCTGATGTAAAAAATCTATATATAGTTCTATCCAAATTGCCAAAACAAAATTAAAAAAAAACAAGAAAGCCAAAATCCCACCAACTTTCCATTCCACCTATTGGAATCAATAATTTTTAAAAAATATACTGTAACCTTTATACACTGTCTTCCCAAATATATCAAAGACTGGAAATAAAGACTAATTATACTCAGAAATAGCAGGATTATAAAAGTGAAAAATAAATACACTGTTTTGACATATGATTGACAAGAAAAACATACCATTTTCAATTTTAGTTTTTGGGTGGGGTCCACTAAACGCTAAAAATTTTCCTGGAACAATCCAGTTGAAGTCACCATTTTCTACTCGCTAATGAGCATTTTAGGAGAGAAGAAAGGAAAAACATTTTAAAATTCACTCATAGCTGTTTAAAATCTCATTTTAATACTTTTAAACTTAAACTGTATCCCTCTATAGCAATCACGTGAGCAAAACATTTCAGACATAATAATTTAGCTCAGAAAATGGGAAAAATCAGACATGCATGAAGTTAGTTTACAATATAGTAAAGGTAATCTTAGAAAAGCTTGCTTTGGAGAGATCTTCAAATGGGCAAACTTTTCTGCGCCTGATCTAAGACATTTCTGCTTAAAAGTTCAGGCTTTCCTCTGTATTTATACTTATGAAATACAACAGGTGCTGGCAAATGCCAATTGTATTTTATGCATTATTAAAGGCTATGGAAATCTGCCACATCATGAATACTGGCAAAAAAGAAATGAATAGGAAACAAAATCAAGACAAATAGGTCTTAAAATAATTTAGTTTCGTCCCTTTGAAAGTTGTGATCCATGCACTGGCATAGCTCTGATGGGTCAGTAACCCCCCCCCAAATATGAATCAATAAAAGTATATTAACATTTGAAAGAGGGTTTTCTTTAAAAGAAATCACAAGATTATCTGTTCCTCTAACAAACAAAACATTTTTGTTTCTCATTTTTACACTCAAGCTTCACAAGTAATCTATAAGCCTGGAATTCTTCTATTGCTCATACAACCTGCCAAAGCTGAAAGCATCTTGCACATACATAACTGTGCTCAAAATCTCTCAGATATCTTAAAAAAATTACAGGTGGGATCATTCCTAGTTTGACAATGTAGTTGCTCTACCTGTGACATTTTATGTAGTGCCACTGTATTTGTATTTTGTATGTCAATTTTTATGTAATTTACAGGCAGTCCCCGAGTTACGCGGATCCGACTAATGTCGGATCCGCAGTTACGAACGGGGCCCTTCCTCTCCCTGGTCTCCAGCAGACCAGGGAGAGGAAGCAAAGCGGGGGAACACGCGGGCAGCGGACAGGGCTGTCCACTGCCCACGTGCTCCAAGGCTTGGCTCTGCTTCGCTCTGCTTCGCGCCCCCCCTCCCCCTGGTCTGCAGACCAGGAGGACGGGGGGGGGCAAAGCAGAGCCAAGCCTCGGAGCGCGGGGGCAGCGGACAGGGCTGTCCGCCGCCCACATGGTCCGCCGCTTTGCCTTCCCTCCCTGGTCTGCTGGAGC